GCAAATATGATTTCTCCTTTAATATATTATTCTTACAACATATTAATAAATCATAATAACCTCTCTCTCTTTATTTATTTCTCCAATCAAGTTGCTTTGGTGAAGGCAACCCAAAAGGACCATGCACCATCAGGTCAAGTACGTACCAAAATAGTTATGGACTTAGACACTAATCCAAAAAAAACTTTGAGTTTGACTCCACTTATTACAATCCTTATCACCTTCCCAGTGAAGATGGTGATGAAGCTCCAGTGACAAGGCAACATTTACGGAGTCTTCATGATAAACTTGATAAATTGCTTGCTTCCCTATCCACTTACTCTGATGTGGTGTTGAAGGATTTTCTTAATACTGCTCTGCAGCAATATAGCTCCTCTATCGACAAATCAACCGATGCAGTAAAAGCCTCCACATCTTCTTGCAAGAAAGTGACATCATAAGTGATAGAACTTGTTCAAGAATCCAAAAATTTTCTGGACTCGTTCAAGGGCCACATTGATTCAAATGCAGCAAAATTTAATGCCTCTATTGATAACCTCTCCAAGTCACTTCAAGAAGAGAAACTCAAATTTGATTCAGTTCATTCTGAACTTCAAGCAGATCACAATTCTCTTCTCACCTCGATCAACTCTCGCCTTGAGAAACTTCAGACAGACCTGGCTATTGATAACAAGATTAAGAATGTCCTTGCTCAAAAGATTTCCTAACTTGAAGTCCAATCTGCTCATCTTGCTCATGCTCAAAAGGAGATTGCATCACTTAAGACTGAGTGGGCAATTCTTAAAATTTGTGTTAGGGATGTTCTTTCAATTCTGAGCAATCTTGTGAATGCTCATGATCCTGTGCTCACCCTTACTATTCGAAATCATTTGATTGCCAAACTTCTTCCCGCTATTCAAATGTTGAGTCGGATTCAGGGTGTTACGGAGCTGGTGGTCGATCTGCAACAAGGGGGAGAAACTATAAATCCTCCAACTTTATCCAAAATCATTATCCAAACCGAACCGAAGGTTAATGTAGCTTTGGGTTATGGTCATGAAAAGTTGAAACGTATTGTGAATGATGATGATGATGATGATGATGATGATGATGAGGAGGAGGAGGAGGAAGAGACGATTGCTGAGGCGTAAAAAAGGAAGAAAATGGATAATGAAATTGATGAAAATTTGAGAATAGCTAGAGCGGAAGAAGAGAAAGAGCGAAAAAAGAAAGAAGCTCATGATGCTATGGTTTGCAAACAAGTTCTCTTTCCCACTTGGACTAGGGAAAGACTAATAAAAGAAGCGATTAAGTCTCCTAGCATCCACTGATTGGAGCTGGTTGCCTCGTTTGATTGTGACAATACGAGGGACTCACAGTATGATATACCCATCACTTGTAGGGAATTTGTGTTCCATTGTTTTGATCCTACAGTTGAAGTCCATTCTCCTCACCCGAAGGTTGATCAAGATTTAGTTGATTATTATCTTGAATTTGCTCAGCCTCAATACTTGACATGGAGTGCTTAGAAGATAACATCTGTCAAGGTATTTAAACCAACTGTTGCTGGGAAATTAACTAATGTGAAGTTTAGGGTGACCCGGGGTTCTGATGACTCGGTGCATATGATCTCGTTGGTTGATCTTCCAAATCTAAATCCACATGACTGGATTTTGTTGTTCAACATTCTGCTCACTAGTTAAGAACAATATGAGCCAATCCTTGATCACATAAAGAGAATGTTGGCTTCCTATATCCATGAAGTTGCTAAGATGGATCAGGAAGTGGCAAATGTTTTGAGGAAGAAACCAACTGTAAAGCCTATTGGAAAACCAAGTGATCTAAACAAGATGAAGATGGGTAAGATTGATCCCACGCATCTCACTGCCATGTTCACAAGAGGCGAAGGTGAAAAATTCCTTTTCGCTCTTGTTGACAAACATTTGTTCTCCACTTCCTGCTTAGAGCATGTACTTGATATCACTCACAGATGTAAATACAATAGTGATTCGGACAAGAACTTTTTTTTTCTGACATGCTTTGGTGGTATATACATTTTCGTCATATTCTTTTGGCCATTATACCGAAGGTGTTCAAGATGTTGAAGAAGTCTGCTCTTTCTCGACCGAACTAAGGTCTCTCCTCTATTGACACAAAGGGGGAGATTGTTGGGATTAGAGTGTTACGTCATATGGGCTTATTTGTTAATATTTTGATTACCCGGTTTAGGCCTGTCCAACCATGGTTTAAGCATTAGTGTTAGCTTATATAATATGCATGCGTGTATAGCTTTGAGGTTAACAGTTTCTTTAATAGCGATTGCATTGTAACCCTAAACACACCTCTACCGTCGAAGTTCTTCATCGAGCTATTCTGAGGTGTGAGATATTAATCATTCGACACCTTTTGATCCATTCTCGTGTTCTTTACTTTGTTATTCCTGTTAATCTATTTAGAATCTATCGATCTAATAGCGCAATAATCTCATCAATGATAAAATGCAAACCGTAAACTAGTAAATATATTTTTCGATTTATTCTGTCAGAATGACAGAATGTCAACCATAAACTACTAAATACATTCTGAAAGAATACACAAACTCGATTCTTGAACTAATAATATACCAAATAATTACGTTGTATGATTGTGATTCATTGAATAATAACAACATTCTGAAAGAATAACAAATATAATTCTTAAAAATTAACAACATTCTTAAACAGTGAGTGTGATTAATCTTTAATTCATTCTTCAAGCCTTTCTCATCTGGTGTTAAAGCCATTTCTATCACAAATTCATTGCCAAATATTTTGTAGTGATACACTTGTAACAACTGTACATTAAACATATAAATAATTAACTATAATTCTTTCAAAATACAACAATAATATTCTTATAGAATAATGTATTCTTGAAGAATGATTTTGAATATTCTTAAAGATTTTGTATTATCAAGAATATATCCAACGAACAAAACATTTGAAATATAAATTCATGAAAAGATCATGTTAATACAAAATGTGACTAAGAAAAAAAAAACAATTAGAATATATAAACCATCTTCGTAAGGGAACAATAAGTAGGAAGAAGACCCTCCAATGATAAATAAATCATTAATATAAACTATATGAAGAAGTGTGAACTTGTTCAACTATTTTGATAGAATGTAATCCTCGAACCACTAATTTTTAATCAAAAAAATAATCCAAAACATAAAATACACCAATTAAAGAATTATTCTAACAGAATATTACTTAGAGTCTAATAGCTATCAAGAAACATGTTTATTCTGCAAGAATGATGCTGTAAAAATTCTCCAAGAATGATTTTCAATATTCTTAAAGAATTTGTATTAGTTTTGACGCCATAAATCAAATGGAAAATTCAACAGCGGGTATACTAGTGAAATCGGAAATCAACAGGAAGGATAATCGGAAATCAAAGGACCAAAAATTAGAGAATAAATCAAATGGAAATTCCATGTGAATAATCGTAAATCAATAGCATTCAAAGGAAGAATTACAAGTCATATTCTTGATTCAGTTGAGCACATTTGATCCAAAGTGTTAAACAACATACAATAAAACATTTGAGACAAGTAAGAAGATCTAAACCCATAAAACCTGACAACAAAGATCTCAAAATAGAAAATCCGCAATATGTTCGGTTTTGGGAGTTCACATGTATTTTTTAGGTAATTTCTTTGGTTCTAGCCGCCTACACATGATCTGAAGTGTTAAAAGGCTTACCAATCATGATTAGCATTAAGAGGGCTTAACACCCATTAAAACTGACAACAAGGCTACTACAAACGGAAAACCCGCAAGGGTTTACAAAAAATATATGGGAAAGAAAGAGGGTTTTACCATACCGGACAGAAAATGGTGTCGATTTAGGGTTCCAACAATGGTGGCGGCGATAAAATCAACAACAATTGAAGCTTTTGTGCAGTGAATTTCCAGCAAAAAGGAACAATTTCAACCGGCATGGCTAACCCACTCCCGCCGACGTAGTCCACTAGTTTTGATTCATCGACAATGACGACGAATTTCTTGCAACAATCCCCCGCTCCCTTTAACCAAATTCATATCTAGGACAAGTTTATCTGCTCCGTCGATGGCCAAATTGAGAAGTGGGTGGTTATTAAGATCCGACAGAGGCAGAGATAAAGACTACTCATGGGTCATTTTCAAAGCTCTCTGATACGGTCAATAGCGTGTTTGACGGTGGAGCCAGTTCCGAGGCCGAGAACCATGCCGGATTCGAACACAACCAATCTGAAATACCAGCGGTGAGGAGGCGATAATGAACATGATCGACAACTGAATGATAAAGCGATGTTGGTTTTGTAGGGTTTAACTAATTAAGGAGAGATTAATTGAATTATTCTTTTACCATAATTAGATATACTAAGTTTACCATTATATCATTTTTTAATTTATTTAATGATTTATTAATTCCTGAATTCTTATTGGTGGATACATGCACATAGTAGTTTCTAGAAACATTTGAACCTAGCTATATATATATATATATATATATATATATATATATATATATATATATATATATATATATATATATATATATATATATATATATATATATTTTCTTGTTATCATCTATATGGTTTAGCCAACATTGTGCAACTGTCATCACAGAAAACAATGCAGAAGAAAGTCAAAGGTTACCTACGTGGTGCATTTGGGAAGGTTCTATTTCCAATTATGCCCTCAGCAGATAGCAATAACTAGGGATGTGAAATAAAAAGTTAAAGTAGCCAAAAAGTGTGATGTGAATAAAGGACAACAGCCTGAATTTTCAAGGTAGAAATAGTCTGTCGCATGGAATTTTAGATTCTTCTTGTTGAGCTTCAGGAAGTCCGAAGGTTTTTTTTTTTGGCTTTATTCAACATTCCATAACAAATTAGTAGAGAGATGCAGCGTCATGTCTGCACAACTTGTTTTCATCTCAAGAACTTAGAAGAAGATTGACAATCAGACAAGTGTTAGAAGAATTCGATGATGATGATGTTAAGCTGCCTGACAGTAGTATTTGGTCTATCTGTGAGTGACGCTACAGGTAGAGGTGAGTTTTGTGAATCTGAATCCTTGTTTGGTTTATTTCATGAAATAATTTTTTCTTTTTAGCAGGGTCAAAAGAATGGCATGCATCTGCTCCAGCGCCACCACCGGGGGACATTGGTGGTGGGTTTGGGTTTTATGAAGAAAATGGCCAAGGGACTAGAGAGCATCATCAGCACGGAGTCTTGTGGTCAGAACTTGTTCTTGTGATAGCATTAATCGTCATGCTTGGGTTTGTGGTGAATGTGGTGATCATAAGATTATTGAAGGAAAAAACAAAGCTGAAAAACACCAGCACCCCTGTTGTTGGAACTAAAACATCCTCCCCAGTGTCAGTAGTAAAGGTGGACGAAACAAATCCAGATCCAGGCCTTGTTTTTTTTGTAGAACAAGAGGAGCAATTTAATTTGCAGAACCTTCTGGATGCAGGAGCTGATCTGCAAAACCAAAACTACTGCAGCAGCCTTTACAAGGTTCAGCTTAACAACAACAGCTTTGCTTATGCAGTGAAGCGATTAAAGAAATTACAGGCACCATGCGAGGAGTTTGATCGCACAATGGCAATGGTTGGGAAGTTGAATCATCCAAACATTCTTCCCCTTGTAGCCTACAATTGTCAGGGTGAAGAGAAGCTTCTCATTTACAAGTATCAAAACAAAGGGAGCCTCCTGGCACTCATGGAAAGTAAGTCGTAATTAATATGACGTACATCTAGATCACATAAAACACATGCAACAATGCATCTAATGTATCGATTAATATTTTTGTTGTCAGGGTATATTGAGGGGAAGAGTGAATTCCCATGGAAAGTGCGGTTGTCTATAGCCGTTGGAATAGCAAGGGGATTGGATCACATATACAAAAGTGATCCGGGCATTCCCCATGGAAACATGAAGCTATCCAACATTTTGTTGAATGAAAACAAGGAGGCGTTGATAAGTGAATACGGATACTGGAATATGGTTGATCCCAAGAGTGCTAGCTTGCAGAGATCAAGTAATGGTTATGGCAGCTACACAGCCCCTGAGAAATGTTCATCGGAAAAAGGGGACGTGTTCAGCTTCGGGGTGATTCTGTTGGAACTGCTGACAGGGAAGATAGTGGAGAACAGTTACAGCGGTGGCTTGGACCTTCCAAAGTGGGTCAAGGCCATGGTCAGAGAGGAGTGGACAGGGGAGGTGTTTGATAAGGAGATTGCAAAGGTTGGAATGTATGCTTTTCCTCTGCTGAATGTTTCCTTAAAGTGTGTTGCCCATTTTGCTGAGAACAGACCTTCCATGGCTGAGGTTTTGGAGACGATACTTGGGGTTGTTGTTGAGGCACAGGAAGATTTTTCTTTTTCTTCCACCGACTCAACCCCCCCACACCCACACACACACGATGCTGCTCATGTGCTTTATTCCGTTGCAGAGGATAAGGAGGAGGGCTAGCTAATATAAACACACCTCTCAAGTCTCAAGTGTATATATACAGAAACCAGATGTTTTGTTTTTCTCCCAATAACTCAATGCCACGGAATCCTATTAATTCCCTCAATTGATTACAACATAATGCTATTTCTATGACTCCCTTTTTCTGTTTATTGTACAACATGGTTTCACTTCCCTCAACAACAACAACAAGAGGAAAAAGATTAAAGTAACTAGGGTTTGTCGTCATCTGAATTGGATCATGGTGGTCCAGGAAAAGAGTTAGCAAAGAACTCTTTCACTGCAACTATTTTCTTATGAGAACAACCTCCCCATGCTTTCATTATCCACACTTTCACGCATTCACTTTGCTTGTGTATTTGAATTGCATACAATGTGTATATATAGTTTTGAGCCGTAAACCCAATGAAGAATCTTAATAGACACAAACACAAAACCTAAGTTTTCACCATTGATACGTGAATCAAAATTCATCTGGAAAATGATCCTACCAACTGCAAAAAAGCCTCTTGGATGTTACCATGCATATGCCCGTAATCAGATCCAAGCAGTAACAATGGTGCTACCTGAAATATATAACACCATGATTGATCAGTTGTAAAGTTAAATTTATGTGATATGGATTTACTTTAAGGGCCATCGAGAACACCTCTCGAGCTTTTGAAACTACAGGGTTTAATGCAGGAAGTATAACTCTAGCAACTTTTAAGCTTAAGTTCTCTCTTGATTTCTGACTGAATCTGCACACTAGATGCGAACCAATTTCTACTTCAGTTCTAAAAATCACAATAACTAAAAGCACCTGATCACACCTTCCATTCTTGGGTCCAGTTTCTCTCGGTATCTTGAATTGATGAACATCATGACCACACACTATAAAAAATCCTCTCAAGAGATGAATCAAGAGCATAGTTACTTAAAAAGTACTCTTGGTTTGAGCAACAAAGATCAAACAATCATAGTCTTGAAGTTTTGTTCTTGCCATCTTGAACTAAAATTTACAGAAATCTGTTTTGAAAATGTGCAAGTCGCAACAAATAACATTGTGATTAGAAAGCATCAGATGCCCATAACAATAAAGCAATAGGCATAGATTATATATAAACCTAAATCACCAGCTCTTCACTAAACTTACAATTATTTCATGCTAAAATCACTCAAAACAATATGAAGTTAATATAATCAGAGAACAGAGATTGATACAAGGTTTACCTGGCTTCAAGCTAACTTCGTCAAGCACTCAAGCCAATATAACACTCAATCTCATTTTGGTTCGTGCCTTCGTAGGTTCGAGGTAAAGTAGGGATTGTTGGAAATCAAGCGTTCACAGGACCTGATCACAACCAAGCAAATAAAATGCAAAATACTACTACTATTTAAAGGCTAAAAACAACCCTTATTTTACTCAAAAATAAAATAGAAAGCAACGTCCACTTTCTCCTAAATAGCTGGTAATCGCTTGACTTTTCCAACTTCCACTCCGGTTAATACTTTCAACAAACCTCTAAGCCACAATGCTTGGCAGACCGCAGCAGTTGCAGCCATAAATTCAGATTCACAAGAAGATAGAGCTACTATGTGTTGTTTCTGCGAGCACCAAGTGATCAAGTTACCTGAAAGGTACATAAAATGTTGTTCCTGTTGTGCCTTTCACATCATCCCGATCCATGTTGTAGCTGCTATCGCTATACCCAATTAGCTTCCCATCTCCACCTGGTCTATACATCAAGCCATGATTGATGGGGCTTTTCAGACACCTTAGAATCTGTTTTACTGCTTTGAGGTGGCTTACTCTTGGGGTTTCCATGTACCTGCTAACAACTCCTATCGGATATGCAAGGTCCGGTCTTGTATGTAGCAGGTATCGCAAGCTTCCAATGAGACGCCGATACTTTGTAGCATTCACTAACTCTCCATTCTCATCTTTTGTCAAGGATAACTTTGGTTCCATAGGGTACTTGAGCCATTACAGTCCATCATTCCAGCCATTTTTACTATTTTTTTTGCATACCCTGCTTGAACAATTGCAATGACTTCTTTGGATTGGTGCACTTCTAAGCCAAGATAGTAAGATAATCTCCCTAGGTCACTCACATCAAACATGTTTTGCATTTGTTTCTTGGATTCAGCCACATTTTCTTCACTTGAACCTCATGTCATCGACATAAATTCCGACTATCAATAAGAATTGTGTTCTGAAGCTTGTACACCCCCTGTTCTTGAGGACACCTTCTAAAGCTAAATTCTTTAAGTGTTTTGTCTAGACGTATATTCTACGCCCTTGGAGCTTGTCGTAGCCCATAAAGGGCTTTGTTCAACCGATAAACCATATGTTTCTTTCTGGTAATCACAAAACCATCAGGTTGAGAAACGTATACCTCTTATTGTAGTTCCCTATTCAGGAAGGCTAATTTTACATCTAACTGGTGAACCTTCCACCCCTTCGCTGCCAAAGCTAGTAATAGTCGAATAGTTTCCAACCGTGCTACCGGGGCAAAGATCTCATCAAAATCTATGCCTTTCTACTGTACGTACCCCTTTGCTATCAAACGACCATTGTGCTTCAATACTTTGCCTTCTGCATCACGTTTCAGTTTATACACCCATTTTAACTCTGATTGGTTTTTGGCCCCTTGGGAGAGTGGCTAGATTCCATGTGTGGTTCTTAACGATAGAGTTAAGCTCTCTTTTCATTGCTTCCAGCCAATCTTGATCAGTTGTTGCTTCTAAATAGTTTGTTAGTGTAACATTCCGTTTAAAATTTAATAAATAAAAATAAATAACCTTAAAAACACCAAGATGTATTTTATATATTATTTTATTAATCCGTAATAACTTCAATGTTTGCCATACGAGTAGGAAGTTATATTTATTGGGTGTTGAGGGTTAAACGGTATCATATGGACCCGTATTGAATAACTTTTTGGGAAGCAGGGGCTAAAGAGTAAAATATGGACTTAGTTTGAATAAGAATGAGGAAGGAGTGACTGAAGTTGTTATATGGTCAAAAGTTGAGTTGGAGGGGACGGTGGATTAAACCCATCACCTCCCATCCTTGTTTTCCCATCTTCATGTTAGAGCCGTAAAACCTAACCCTAAAAACTCAGCTGCCACCCTATCCCTCCCATCCCAGTCGCCGCCTCCATGACACTATAGCGAACCACCGAACAACCGACTTTGCGACTCTGACGACAGGATTGAAGGCCGATATCGTGGTTATTGTTGTTGTTTTCTCAATCTCCGTCCCTTCTTTCCTCCGAGCTGTCCATCACGTTGCGGTGATCACCGCTGGGCTACGTCGCCACCGCTAACGCCGTCTATTGATGTTGCCGCTATCGTTGTTGTCGTTACATCGTTCTGCAGCTCTGTTCGTCGCCCCTCCTTCGTCGTTCTCCTCCTCCAAGACCGAAGTCAGACATGGTGGGTGTTTTGTTCATGCATGTGTGATTGTTTCATTTCGTGGGTATGTGTTGTTGGCCGGAGAACAAGAAAACCACCATGGCAGCCAACCAAAGTGGATACCGCCCATGCTACTCCTTTTGCTGCCACCACCCACCGTGAGAGGTGGTCGTATGTGTGTGTAAAAATGGTGTTATGTGCGTGTTTATTTCAGTTGAAGTTGTTTTTGGGTGTTGCTTGACCGGAAACTGAAGAAAAACCAACACCACCACCGTTTGGCCATCATTAATTTGTTGCCACCAGCCTCCACTTTGGGGTCGGTGGTGACTACAACCTCATGTCGTCGTTTAGCCATCGTTTACCGCCACCAACCGCCACTTTGGTTGGCTATGTGTATATGTGTGTGTATGTGTTTGGACGAGTGTTTGGAATGGTTTATCACTGTTTTGGCCTAAATTCATAACCACCACCACCGTGAGGTGGTGGCTGCCGCCGTGAACCACTGCTGACCACTACTACCCGAGGCGGTAGTGGGTGGTATCCAACTTATTTAACAATAATTAACCTAATAGTTTAACCATTGGAATAATTGGCACGAGATTTGGTTGGAAACCCTAATTAGGGTTTAGAAAACCCTAAATTTGGATATGCTAGTTTTGGAGTTGTCGGGACACGCACTTTGGACCATTGGAATTGAATTATGAATTATGCCCGACCATACCGTATGATTGACCTAGTACAATGATGGGCTTAATGGATTAAGTCCTTAATAAGTTAAGTATTTTTAATTAACCCTAGACTTCATTTTATGTGACAACCGTAATTGTGTTGGGTTTTGAGTTGGGCTTTTGTCTTGGGCTTAGATGTTTAGATTTTGCATGGGCCCTCTAATAACAAGTATACGGACTACGAAATTTAGATGGGCTAGGTAAGGCCCATTTGAAGGGTATGAACCCAATTTGGAAATTTGGGCATGTGTTGTGTCACACACCCAAACCAGACGGCGAAAATATCCGGGGGTGGATGACTTCATTTGTAGTATCACAACACATGCATCATAGTAATCAAAGTACAAAAAACCATTGTATTTAAGAAGTATAAATATTTACACGTGTTCAATCATTGTATATTAACACCAAAATAGTTATTGCAAAAGACCGAAAATATGACTCCAAACAGCTCCATCTTCTCAATAGCATGGGGAGTACTTGTCTACTGATTCCCTGAGAATACAAGTAATTTGAAAAGAGAGTATCAAAATAAAGTTGAGTGAGTGCATAAGTATTTATGTTTAAAAGTATGTTTCCTATTCTCTGAATAGTAAATTGTTCCAAAAAATACTATATTTTCTGTTGTGTATGAAAAGTAGTTTTAATTCCATAAAACCGTTCTATTTTAAACCAATGTATAACTTGTAAAAGTGAGTGTGTCTGGCTCCGCTAGCTGTTATTGTAAACTGTAATGTAATACTGTAAATTGTATCTTTGTAAACTAGTACTTTGAAAATGTACTTATGTTTAGTTAATTATACACTAACATATTGTTAATATCTTTTTAATGAGTTATTATAACCATACTATGACTAGATGGTCTGAAACGAA